CCTCCTTTCCTGACTATTCTGAAAAAGGAAGGTGACCAGCACACTCTAGCAATATCATGTACCATTTTTTCTTTGTAGCCTTTGTCCTGATTTAATTGTTCATTTTTTTGTTTGTGGTCTTTTTTTCCCTTTTAGCTTGTAAGCTCCATAAGGTTAGGGATGTGCTGGTTTTGTTAATCATATCTTCCCAGTTCTCTCACACTGTCTGGCACACAGGTGGTCTCAATAAAGGCTTCTTGAATAAATGAAACAAAACTGACCCTGTAGGGCTCCTCACCTAGAAAATCCTTGTTCTACAGAAAAGTTACTTACTTTCAGACATCAACAGGTTCATAATCTATGTTTCTCTCTTTCTTCATTTTTCCCTTCTATTCTGGCCACTTTGAAAATCAGAGAAATTGATATTTCAGACATGCCTTTCAATTGATAGGGTGGTGCTTTAATGATAACATAAAAGAAATCTATTTTGGAATGACATATAGCTTTATGGGTAGAAACTCAATCTCTTCCTTTTTGGGCATTCTAACTTGTTTAGAACATCTTGTCATAAGTGATTTGGTAGAGGAAAACCTTAACAATGTCACCTAAAAATAACATTTTTCAATAATAGCATTTCCAGAAGCCTGGACAGGAATAGTCAGGGTAGGTGAGCCAGAGCTACATGGACTATGCTGATGAAGTGGGACTCTGGACACGTCTCATTCTGCCCTGCTGACCCCAAATGGGAGAGCATATGTGACTGTACTCTAAAGTCTGTTAAGTGACATGAGGTCTTATTACAGTGGCCACCCTGGGCTATATCCTCGAGTCTTACTAGTTGAAATAGATAATGTAGGACCTAATAACTTTTTGGAACTAAGAGAACATGACAGTTATCAGGAGAAAGTGCTGATGTCATCTAGTAAGGCCTCCCTCTAAATGAAGTCAATAAAGTATTTGACAGATACATCCAGTGCTGGAGGGGAAGCCACCAAGACTTCTCAAGCCAATATACTTTTTTCTGGAGCAAAAGATATTGTTCTTCTCTTCTCTGTAATTTTTACCCTTTGGGAATCTTAATTCTATTCTCCAGAGCTACTAACCTACTGCCATTGAGTTGATTCCGACTCAGAGACCAGAGCTACTAGAGAATGTCAATCCAAGAAGGCAGATTTCAGGCATTTGATAACATTGGTAAGTGGGAAAGGAATTTGTTTGACCTGGGCTAAGCACACCAACTATAGTTTTGGATTAAAGGGTCTAGAAAGCAAGTTTCGTCAAACCAAGAGATCTGTTTGCAAAGTATGCACTTGTTGTTAGGTGCTGCTGAGTTGGTTCTGACTGTGTTGTACAACAGAATGAAACATTCATCCTAAGCCATCCTCACAACTGTTGCCATGCTTAAGCCCATTGTCGCAGACACTGTGTCACTCCATCTCATTGAGGGTCTTCTCCTTTTTGCTGACCCCCAAGTTTACCAAGCATGATATTCTTCTCCAGGGATTGGTCCTTCTGACAGTATGACCAAAGTAAAAGAGATGAAATCTGGCCATTCTTGCTTTTTTTATTTTTTGGCTATTCTTACTTCCAAGGAGCATTCCAGTTGTACCTCCTCCAGGACATACTTGTTCATCCTTCTAGCACTCTATGGTACATTCAATATTCTTTCTCAACACCACAACTCAAATGCATCAATTCTTCTGCAGTCTTCTTTATTTATTGTCCAGCTCTCACATGCACATGAAAAATACATACAGCTTTGAGTCAGGGACACCTTAGTCTTCAAAAGTGACATTTTTGCTCTTTAACACTTTAAAGAGGTCTTTTGCAGCAGATTTGCCCAGTGCAATATGTTATTTGATTTCTTTTCTTTTTTTTTTTTTTTAATTAGGATTTGGGTGAAGATTTACAGAGTAAATTCACTTTTCATACAGCAGTTCACTTATACTTTGTCTCATGTCATTGACCAAAATTTACAATGCAGCAGCTCCCCTCCCACTTCCTCCCCACAGTTACCTCCTCCCAGTGTCCATCCCTTCATGCTGTTCTGTACCCTGAGCTATCTCCCTGTGCATAAGCAGCCCTTCCTTCTCCCACGATTGTTCTCTCCAGGGCGTGTGTCTACTTGAGGTAAATGTTTAACTCACATGCCTGTACTTTGTTTGGCTGGAAACCACAGTTGTGGGTTCAATTCCAGACCTGAAGGGCAGCTAGGGGCCATAGTCTCAGTGGTTCCACCAGGCTCTATTGGACCAGGAAACTTGGTCCCCACCTTCTTTTTTTTTTGCCTCCAAATGATTTTGAGTTTTGTTCCACATTGTTCTCCCTCTCTATGCAGGATCTCCTACATCCCTTCCAAGTGGATGACAGTGGTAGCTGGGCACCATCTAGTTCTTCTGGTCTCATAGTTGTATAGGTTGCAGATCGGATGGTGTACCAGTCGCTAGGACTGATTGTTTCCATTAATTCTGATTTTCTTCTTTCTTCTTGACGAGGAGAGACCCGTTGTTGCATCTAGATGGCAGCTTCCTAGCTTTTAAGGTCCCAGTCGCTACTCGCCAAAGTAGTAGGTGGAACAATGTTTTGTATAGTATGTTATGCCAATTGAGCTTGATGTCCCCTGCGGGCTATGGTCCCAAGCCCGCAGGATCAACTACTCGGTCCCTCTGGGTAGCTGGCTGTGACCAAGCAATGACCATAACCTTGCCCCTTGTCAGCTCTACTATACACCTGGGAATTCTGATCATTCACATGAACTTATAGGCCCATTGTCTGCCAACCCTATATATGATCTTGGATACACTCTCCATTTAGACATACCTAATTGTTTAGCTTGTTCACCTATCTATCCGTCCCTATACGCATGTTTGCTTTCACTGACAACTCAGTACTGTATATGCAGAAGGGTTCATATTTGTTGTCTGTACTGCCCATGTAACTCTCTATGTCTTTCTCATCCTCAATGCTGCCATATTGGTCACTCACATTTGGTACATTGCCCTTCTCTTCACTCAAATCAATATTTATCTCCATCTAACAGCATTCCCTCCCCTCCCCTCCCACCCCTGGTAACCAACAAAGAAAATGTCCTCCAATATATAAACTTTTCCTTGACTTTTTATAAGGGACTAATACAATATTTGTCCTTTTGTGACTGACTTATTTCACTCAGCATAATGTCCTCCAAGTTCATCCACGTTATGCGGTGTTTTGCAGATTCTACATTATTCTTGTTATTTGATTTCTTGACTGCTGCTTCCATGGGTGTTGACCATGGATCCAAGTAAAACAAAATCCTTGACAACTTCATCGTCTTCTCCGTTTATCATGCTGCTGCAGATAGCAGGTTGTTAATGAGTCTTCCTCCGATCCTGATGCCGAGTTCTTACTCATACACTCCAGCTTCTCACATTACTTGCTCAGCATACAGACTGAATAAATACGGTAAAAGGATACAGCCCTGACACATACCTTTCCCGATTTTAGACCATGCAGCATCTCTTTGTTCTCTGCTTGAATGACTGCCTCTTGGTCTATGTATAGATTCTGCACAATTAAGTACTCTGGAATTCCCATGTTATCCTTAATTTGTTATGATCAACACAGTCAAATGCCTTTGCATAATCAATAAAACACAAGTAAACATCTTTCTGGTACTATCTGCCAAGATCCATCTGATATCAGCAATGATATCCCTCATTCCATGTGTTGTTCTGAATTTGGCTTGAATTTCTGGCAACAAACTCACTGCCATCAAGTCAATTCTGACTCACAGTGACCCCCTTTGGGTTTCCAAGGCAGTAAATCTTTACACGAATAGATTGCCTAGTCTTCCTTCTGTGGAGTGGCTGGTGGGTTTGAACCACCAACCTTCTGGTTAGCAGTCAAATGCCTTAGGCACTGCACCACCAGAGCTCCTTGTTTGTTTTTGGTTTGGTTTTCCCTCTCCATATACTGCTGCAACTGTTTTTTAATTATCTTCAGCAAAAAAAGCAAAAAGTATTCATTTAGCCCCACATATTTAACAATAGATAGCTTAAGGTCTGAGTGATTACTAAGTGCCAGATATTATTCTAAGAGCTTTATATGTATTAGTTAATTTAACCCTTCCTACATCCCTACAATACAGGTATTACTATACCTATTTTATAGAACAGTTAACTAAGGTACAGAGTAGTTTTGTAAATTGCCTAAGGTCACAAAATCATATGTGTTGGACTTGGGATTCAAACCCATCAGGGCCCCAAAGGCCTCTTTCCTCTACTATATGGATTCCCATAACATCCAAGTCTCTATTTACCTACTATTCATAGTCCTGAACCATAGGCCCTCATTCATTTCATGCCCTACATTCTGCGTTGCTCCTCATCCACCATGACTTATTTTCTCAATTAGGGCTTCACCTTGTCCTTTGGACCCCAGTTCCAGGTTATCTATGGCCTTCACTTCCCTCCTTAACTATGATTCACCATTTTCCATTATGCTGTTTCTGATTGCCTTGGGTAGTACATACACAGACCACACACTGGATATCAAATCAAGTAAGTACAGGCGTTTCACTTCTTACTCATCTCAATCCTGTTATTGTTTTTTAAACCAAGAATCCCTGAAGTTCATAGAACAAGAAAATATAACAGTTGACATGCTGGGAGTTTTGTCAAATGTCAATGCAAAACAATTTCCATTACGTTTTGTCTAGCTGGCAACCATGCACAGTCAGAGTTATGATATAAAAACTCACTGAAAATTTAATACAATGCTCAATTAAGGTTGATTGCTTTTGGCAGCTTTTCCAACAATAGAGACAAGTACTCCAAAGGCTTGTATTGCTCTAACAGCCATTTGTACTAGCCCTGAGAGAATTAAGTAGCTTTCGGATTGGGCTGCATACCATTCCAGAAAAGTTCAAAGACTCATTCTAATGTATTAAGTTCAGGAACAAATGTTTAATGCAATAAGCATGCAGCAGAGAGGCTGCGCTAAGACCCTAACCAGGACTGCCTGGAACCCATGCATAGTACCTTCACTCCGTCCAGCACAGCTTTGATGACCCCCTTCACAGTTGTCACCATCTCCTTATCTTCTGAGTTCACACCTTCTAGCATCACTTGGTCAGACCAACGAATGAGGTTGGCGAGACTTTGGTACACTCGGCTGTAGCAGGAGGAGAGGGCTGAGCTAGAAGGAGGAAAAGAGTTTTTAACATGAGTGTTTTTTAAAAAAAAAAAATCTAAAACATGACCATTACTTTAAACTATCCACTTAGCACACAAACAGTTTCTTAGTGACTAGGGTGAGTTTCTCAATCTCTCTCTTCTTAACATGAACACTTCTTTTTAGTAAACATTTTCTTCTCTGAGCCCATCTCCTTAAATCCATACAAAAATATTTTGTGGAGCTTCACATTGTAGTCTGCATTATAACTGTTTTTCTCATTTTCCAAATATATGTAAGTGCCATCACAATAGTTAATGTGCTTTCTCAAACTTCACATGCCTCCACAAGATCTGACAGTGTCTTTCTGGGAGTGCCCATCTTCCCTCCTCCTGGTTGCTAATCATTGGACTAGGTCAAAGCATTGTGCACATCATATTTTGAGTTAGATTAATTCATTTAGATGTTTCATGAGAGGCCAACAAGTTTGTGGAATTTTAGCAGTCCTTTAAAGGAACAACCATAAGCTTGAACAGATCTGTAATTTATTAGCATTCCTCTTAACATAGGCTTAGCTCCCTCATCCTCTATATTATAACCACAGCTGAGTTGTCAGAGGAACACACTACAGAAGACTATCTCAAGATAACAGATTGGAGGTGAGGGGTCTTGTGGTGGCGGCAGGGTGAGATGTTAGGGTTTGAGGCTGGTATAGGGAAGAAGTAGTGTTAACATTTTCATGACTTGAATTTTTCTGTTGCTACCATGTGTTTTCATAATAAGAGGCATGTTGAAATTAAGTTTTTTTTTAAGGTAATAGGAATTTTGATACAATTATGTGGGACATATATGTCCCAAGTGGACTTTGGTGGTAGGACTGGTGGGGTGATGGCAGTTTCTTCAGACTCATGCAGTTATACAGGTCTCTGCCAGGTAGTAGCACATACTACAACTGGGATAGCAGCTTCCCAAGAAATCTGAATGGCTGAAAATGTTGGTGGACAATATATGGCCCCTGGTTCACAAAAGGATAAGGTACCAGCAATGCTGTAATGCTAACACATATAAAACAGAATCCCTGAGTACTTTGAGGGTGTTGCAATGGTTTTAGATAATGGCTAAAATGAAGATTTCTTACATCTCCCAGATATTTTTGAATAATTAAAGATATTTTCTCTTAGAATTTTGGAAAGGATGATTTCTCCATTTAAAACATTATGCATTACAACAGAGGAGTAAGAAAAATAGACATTATCTCTGGGCTGCCCCCTCATCTACTCTCAAAGTATCTCAAAAAGAAAATACATAAAGAATGAGGCAGATATTTAGGAACTGAAGATACAATTTTGAGGCAAAGCTATAATATTGTAAGACACGATTAAAACCGTTCTTAAAAATAAAGCCGTTTGAAAACCAAAACCTGAACCAAATAACACTCCGACAAGAAGCTCTTCAGAATCAGGTAAGCAGGGGAAAAAGTTTCCAGAGACCTAAAATTTCCATCTAGCCAGTCATTCCACTCTTTGCATGTCCCAACAGGAGAAAATCAGAGTCAGAGAGACTGAAAGCAAACTTTTCAAGTCCCATTAGAAACAAGAGAAATTCACAAACAGGAGCTCAAAAAAGTCAGGTTTTAGCTACTTCAAAGGATAATATGAATGGAAAGTATTTGGTGTTAGACCTATTCTATTAGGAAAGGAGAATAAAAACAAGAACTCTGATCTTTTCCTTGGTGTTAGATCATATGTGGCTCTTCCTGAAGCGGAGAGCACTTCTTGTAGCTATGCTTCCCTGCCTCTCTCCTGAGAAGGCCAGGTCCCGCCTCTTTAAACAAGGACTGCTGCCTTTAGCTAATGTGCCCTTACAGGGCATTCCACTAAACATCACACTGTAAACTATGGGCAATAGTAGATGAAAAGAGGAAAGAACACTTTACTAATACTTCATTTCTACCTACTTTGTATGGTAATAAGAAGTTCTAGTGGCACAGTGGGTAAGGCCTTTGGTGTGAACCAGAAGATCAGTGGTTCAAACTCATCAGCTGCTCTGTGGGAGGAAGATGAGGCAATCTATTTCCATAAAGGTTTACAACCTTGAAAACCCTGTGAGGGTAGCTATGAGTCAGAATTGACTTGATAGCAGTGTTTTTTTTTTTTTTGGTATGGGAACAGAGTGGTTAAAGTACTTGACTGCTAACCAAAAGGTCAGCAGTTCTAACCAACCAGCTGCTCAGCAGGAGAAAGATGTGGGAGTTTGCTTCTTTAAAGATTTTAGTCATGGAAATCCTGTGGGGTGGTTCTCTGTTCTAGAGCGTCACTCCAAGTTGGAACCAACTTGATGGCAATGGTTTTTTTTGAGGGGTATGGTAATGTTTTCCTGAAAGCACCTAAAGATTTTGGCAATTATGTCTCCCCTTTATATGACTGATAAGCTTGGAAGCAGAATATTCCTCTATGTCAAGGTGCTGGAGACTAAGAAAGAAAGGCGGGGCCTGTGCTGTGAAAATGTCACCAGTAAATCCACTGCTGGCCTCTTTCTGGAATGGAGCAGAGCAGTTTGCATTGGGTGTTCCAATGTACAGGAGAATCCTCTACTTATCGCTCACTTGGAATTGCCAGCTGCTTATTCAAAGGCCTGAACAACAGTCCCAAGAACGTAGGGGAGGACGGTGAAGAGTCAGCCTGCTAGGACCCAACTGACAGAAGAAAGTCCATGCAAAAGACAGGGAAAATACCTTCCTGGCTTACAAACTACACTAGAGGGAGGAATGAGATGCTGGAAAGAATCTAAGAGAAATATCTGAGGATGTATTTTTAATCATTTCAGGGAGATAAATAAAAATATCACCACTGGCTTTGGCAGAATTTCAGAAGGAAAAATCCCTTAAATGGTATTAGCCAAATGACTACCAGAAAACAAAAAACAAACAAACAAACAAACAAAAAACAACAACAACAACTGTTTTTTCATTGTTCCTTATGGCCACTTCCCTTCTTCCCTCTAGAAACTGGTTGTATATAGACTTTGAATAATTTCTGTCAAGTATAATAAAACCAGGGAGCCCTGATGGTGCAGTGGCCAAGCACTCAGCTGCTAATAGAAATGTCGGTGGTTTGAGAAAGATGGGGCAGGCTGCTTCCGTAAGGATTTACAGTCTTGGAAACCCTATGGGGCAGTTCTACCAAAAAAAAAAAAAAAGTTTTTCTGTAGGGTCGCTAAGAGTTGGAATTGACTTGATAGCAATAGGTTTTTATTTTTTTTTGGAGGGAGGATGTTTATAACAAAACTTCCCTAAGAGACTAAAAACAAAACAAAAAAACGGAACATCATATGACTTAATCAAGTCTTATGCAGTGTTTACACATCTAGAAAGTAACTTCTCGAGTAGAAAGCAACAACTCTAACAGCAACGCAGTGTAACCCTGTTAATACAGGTTTCAGCTGTGGAGACCTATGCTCATTTCCCTCTCTCCCCCTTGTCAATGCCCCAGAGTGTTCACACCCTCTTTGCTTGTATGGCTGCTCAGAGGTCTTGTCCCTACGACCACACCATGTCTGGCTGGCCTCCACTCCTTTGCTCTTCTTCCCCTGGCCCGAATGCCAATCCAATTCCTACCCTTCCTTCAGGTCCGGCCCCAGTGCTGCTCCTACAGGAAGTCCCTGCAATTCTCTTGTAACTTTCCCTTTTGAAATTCCAATAGAGGTTCTACTCTATCATTTTCTCATAATGTGGGGTTGATTTATTTCCACTAGATTTTAACTCTTGAATGGTTAGACCATCAGGAGCATAGGAGAGCATTTTTGAAAAGCTATCTGAGCACATGATTGTACATACTACCCAATTACTAATATAATGTTAGGTACATTCACTCAAAGGAAACCATCACTGAGCCCTCCTATGAGCTGGATGCTGGTTAAACTATCAGACAGATGTAGTACTTGGTCTCAAAGCTCTACAAAGACCAGATACTATATTCATGGCCACTGAGCAGGGCAATGAAGTGCCTCACTATCTCAGAGGCTTTTCCTATAAGGGCAGCAGCATGGCATGGAAAAGTGAAAATGTAGCATGGCAAAACCATATTGATTCCTTTATCAAACTCCTCTCACCATCAACTAGCTCAAGTGAACTTTTATCTAGCCAAAGGACCACAACCTACAGTGGTCAGCTGAAACTCCAGGGTGGAAACCAAGGCAGATAGTTTCTTGGAAATAAAGCACTGTTTGCTTTATCTCCCAGAAGAAGAAAAATATGTACACCCCTGCCAAGTTCTGAAAGCACTTAGGCCTCGTGAGGCTATATGAACACTAAACCATCTCAAGGAATTGAAACAGAGACGCATTTATCCTGCACAGGTACTATGGAAGAAAAACAAAAAGCCAACAGGAATCTGACAGCTTCCCAAGAAACAGCTCTTGCCAGGCTTTCATTTAAGATTGCATTTAATATTCCTTTTTTTTTTTTTTTTTATACTTAACAATAATATAGGAGCAGCTGCTCATACAATCTTTAAGGGGAAAGTATGCTCTGGCAATAAAAGCACTGCCTAACAGAAGCTTCTTGGGGGGCAAGGGCTGATAGCTGGCTTTCAATGAATCCAGGTGCTGTGTTTGGGGGATCCTGACTTGATACAGTTAAGTGTTTCACTAATCCATACTCTAATGGGGTTCTTCTCTACCACTTTTGGCCTATCATCTGAGCAGTTGAGGACTCTTAACAGGTTAGATGTCCATAGGATTTAATGTCATAATAAACCATGGTTAAATGTTATGTGACTGAGGTACTTGGAGAAATGTGTCTAAATTACTGTGATTACTGCTAATGCAAGGAAATGATCACAGACTTATACTGTGGCTATATCCCCAGGAATGGTACGGATTGAAGTAAATGCTGAGACCTTGTGAATAACTCTGACCTTTATCTTGGAGTAGCACCAAATGATAGCCTGGGGAGAACCTCCTGACACTAATGCCTGTTCCTAGTAACTCTTGAGTCTGAAGTGACCCCATAGCAAAATGTCTCCAGGCCTTCCTTTGCTCTGACCCAACCAAGACTTGCAGAGCAACTCACCTGTGTTGAATTCGAGGATCGCTCTGTACCAGGGGTAGGATGGCCTCCAGCACTTTGCTGGCTGACCCTGGAAGCATCTCCAGTACCTTCTTATCAATTGCCATTTTGTCCACAATGGTCTTAAAGTAGCGCAAGGCACTGACAACTTCCTTCTCTTTCTCTTCCAGCCAGCTCAGGTTCTGAAAGGAAACGTTAAGCACAAGGAGGGAGGAGAGAGATTAAAGGGAGCTATTTTGAAAAAATAAAATTTCCTGTAAACTACCTTGAGATTGAAGTGAATGGAGATGGCTTCTTGCTGCACAAATGAAGCCAAGTTGTTTTTCTAAGGATTTTAATCAGGACACAAAGATTAGTCTTGAAAGAAGAAAAATAATTTATAGATATTCCTGAATTCCCTTGCTGGACTCAAGGTTGATTTGCTCTGAGGTCTTGAAAGTCACTTATCCTCCTCTACTTCCTAATCAACCACACCCAGCTACCACCACTAATCTCATTAAGTATGTTGTTATGTGGCAACTCACAGCGACCCTTCCTTGGGTTTCCAAGGCAGTATCACTATGGAAGTAGATTGCCCCACCTTCCTTCCGAGGAGTGGCTGGTGGGTTTGAACCGCCAGCCATCTGGTTAGCAGTCAAGTGTCTTAGGCACTACGCTACCAGAGCTCCCTCATTAAGTATGTTGTTGTTGTTTGCCGTTGAGTCGGCCCCAACTCACTTTCCGAGGCAGTATCACTACGGAAGTAGGATTGCCCAACCTTCCTTCCGAGAAGTGGCTGGTGGGTTTGAACCGCCAGCCTTCTGGTGAGCAGTCAAGTGCCTTAGGCACTATGCTACCAGAGCTCCTCATTAAGTATAGTAAGGACTAATTTGCTGATGGCTATTAGATACTTGGAAAGCTAATAGTAGAGTCCCATGGTAGACATACATCCTGTAAATCAAATCAAGAAACCCCAGGCTTTTCTACCATTTGAAGATCAGAAGGGCTGTTTAAGACTGGTCAGGGGCATTAGGTTTCAAAACCTATTCCCTCAGAAGTTCTCATTAGATTCCACATTGTTCAACTCAAAGATGCAACCCCATCTCAATGAAATGATATGCCACTCCCAAATGACCTAGAAAACCCCAGGGCTAGAAGAGGTGAGATGCTCTCCAGTGAAAAGGTAAAGAACCCAGAGAACAGACGACAATAATTCAATCACCACCCTGCACTGGTTGCTAGTAACATTCATGGTCTCTATACTTCTAGGAGAATTTACCTAGTAAGAAAATAAACACACAGCCCTGCACTTTTCAGCATTCAAATTATCACACTCAAATAATTTCTCTTAACTGTGGGATCCTTTGAATTGGCAGTCAGCAGGTATGCAAACCCACTGTCACCAAGTCGATTCCAACTCATAGCAACCCAACAGGACAGAGAAGAACTGCCCTGCAAGATTTCCAAGGCTGTAAATCTTTACAGAAGCATATTGCTTCATCTTTCTTCCATAGAGTGGATGGTGGGTTCAAACTGCTGACCTTTTGGTTAACAGCCAAATGTTTTAACCACAGCACCACCAGAGCTCATTTCAATGGGTACACACACTTTTGTTCCTTTCTCCAACCTCCCCCCCCAGCTGGCCTTAATGTCAATTACCCAGGTCCTAGCTGGTTGGAAGGGAAAGGAAAATCAAGAATAATTTATGCCACTGCTCCAACAAAAAATGACAAGACTCTCAAAGAACAGAGAAATAATGGCCCACCCAAATGAACATGACAGAAAGAGTGAAAGGGCATTTAGGGATGATCAAATAATAATTAGAAAGAAAGAATGTAATACAATAATATTACACAAAATTAAAGAACTAAGGAAATTACAGGCAAAGAGAAATAAGGAAAACAATGCAAGAACAAATAATCTGGAAAAAAAAAAAAAAGATACTGCAACAGAAAGGGACAATAACTGAAATGAGAAACATAATAGAAAGACTGACCAACAATTGTAATTAGTCAGAAGAAAGAATCAATGAATTAGAGGACAAGATAGTTAAAATTATAGACGCTGAAGAGCAACAAAAATGGAGGCACAAGAAGGTTGAGTACACGTTAATGAAATTATGGGACAACAACAAGAAACTTAATAAGTGCATCATGGGAATTCCAGAAGGAGATGAGAGGGAGGGACAGAAAGAATATTTGAAGAAATAACTACAGAAAAATTCCCCAATCTAATGAAGGACACAGGTCTACAAATACAAGAAGCTCAAAGAATCTCATGCAGGATAAACCAAAAGAGATCTCTATACCAAGACACATCACAACTCAACAAAAACCACTCACTGCCGTCAAGTCAGATCCGACTCACAGCGGCCCTGCCTTGGGTTTCTGAGGCAGTATCATTACAGAAGTAGATTGCCCAACCTTCCTTCCGAGGACTGGCTGGTAGGTTTGAACTGCCAGCATTCTGGTTAGAAGTCAGATGCCTTAGGCACTATGCCACCACATCACAGCTAGGCACTAAAAAATTAACGATAAAGAGAAAATCCTGAAAGTAGAGAGAGAAGCAAACTGTCACATACAAAGGATTCTCAATAAGATTAAATACTGGTTTTTCCTCAGAAATAGTGGAAACCAGAAGGCAATGGAATGATATATTTAAAGTGCTGAAGGGGAAAGATATAAGTCAACCAAGAATACTATACCCAGTGAAACTATCCTTCAAGAATGAGGGTGACACTGGGAGGAGGTAACTATGGGGAGGAAGTGGGAGGGGAGCTGCTGCATTGTAAATTTTGGTCAATGACATGAGACAAAGTATATGTGAACTGCTGTATGAAAAGTGAATTTACTCTGTAAATCTTCACCCAAATCCTAATTAAAAAAAAAAAAAGAATGAGGGTGAAATTACCCATCCTATTCAAACTATTCCAGAACACAGAAAAGGATGGAATCCTCCCAAATTCATTTTATGAAGCAAGCATAACCTTGATGCCAAAACCAGGCAAAAACATCACTAAAAAGGTAAACTACAGACCAATATCCCTCATGAATATAGATGCAAATATCTTCAACAAAATCCTAAGCCAAAAGACTCCAACAACATACCAAAAAAATAATACATTATGACCAAGGGTTCACATCAGGTATGCAACGATGGTTCAACATTAGAAAAACAATCAACATCATCCACCATATAAATAAAACAAAGGAAAAGAACTACATGATCATATCAATCGATGGAGAAAAAGCACCTGATAAAATCCAACATCCATTCCTGATAAAAACTCTCAGCAAAATAAGAATAGAAGGGAAATTCCTCAACATAAGAAAGGGCATATATGCAAAACCAGCAATCAACATTATTCTCAATGGAGAGAGACTGAAACCATTTTCCCTGAGAACAGGAACCAGACAGACAAGGATGCCCGCTATCACCACTTCTATTCAACATTGTATTGGAAGTCTTAGCCAGGGCAATAAGGCAAGAAAGGGAAAACAAAGGCATCTAAATTGGTAAGGAAGAAGTCAAACTATCCCTATTTGCTGATGATATGATCCTATACATAGAAAACCCAAGAGACTCAGTAAAAAAAAAAAAAAGAAAAAACTACTGGAATTAAACGAGAGATTTAGCATAGCGGTGGGATACAAGATCAACATACAAAAATCTGTTGGATTTCTCTGCACCAGCAAAGAGATTTCTGAAAAGGATATAACGGAATCAGTACCATGTATAATAGCTACCAAAAAAATAAAATACTTGGGAATAAATCTTAGCAGGGACACAAAAGACCAGTACAAAGAAAACTACAAAACACTACTTCAAGAAACC